CCCAAGGGAACATGGCTCGTTGTATAAGAAAATACAGATAATACATAATAGATCTAAAATCATTGATCTTACTAAAAAGGGTTTTAGTATTTAGAAATTTACAACACGAGAATAGGTACGTCGAGCGAAATAATCCAAACAAGAAAACCCTCATGTATATACCTTATATCTCAAATTGTAAACCCCTAATCACCAAACCTGAGGTTCTAATATAGGAACAATAATAAAAGAAATACAACTAATCTCAGAACATAAGTGCGATGCCATATCATAGCCTACATGAATATCATGTTAAAATTTACATAAGTGTCATGTCAAAATCTACATAACTATCATGTCGTGATCTTCTGTGAGAAAGTCATATTCAGGGTTAAGAACTAGGTCCGAAACATGAACTATATATTGTAGTTTCCAAACTCATGGAATAAGTGGCAAATGTCCAACACGAGGACTGAAATGGATTATAGTCCAACACGAGGACTTCTATGGATTATAGTCCAACACGAGAACTGTAAAAAGGTGAAAAATATCACTGTGACATATATTGAAATCTACTTATATGAATCCCCACTCAAATCAGTGTGTAAGTCTCTAATTTTTACCCTCAGGTCATCTATCATGCCTGGGTACATAGTAAGACTAAAAACCGAAGTCAGATAATCCAATCAAACACTCGAACATGAGTAAAATACTCAAAAAATACACAAAACAGGAATTTGCAACAGACAGTGCGGCGGTCGACCGACTCGGTCGACCGCACTCTGCTAGGCATTTCGGTCGACCGACAGAACGTCGCGGTCAACCGGTGCGGTCGACCGCAGACTATTTCTGCCCCTACAGCGAGCTCAGCGGTCGACCGCCGCGGTCGACCGCCAAGCAGACAGAAACCCAAATCTGGGTTTTCTGTCAGCTGCTAAACCTGTAATAAAAAGCTTGATTCTAATTACAAATAAAAGTTCTCACTTCTCAAAAAAAATCATACAGTAGAAGAACAAGACATTTTTAAGTATGTAAACCATATACCCAAAATTCTAAATACAAGAGAAACAAGATTAAAATATTTTGATAACAGTAAAAATGATTTAACTCTTGTTTAAGAAATTTCAGATCTAGATCTTATTGATAAAAGCTCTTTGGTGAGCTTTTAAAGTTGAAAACATGATTCTCAAAACATGTACCATATAGATCTACTATCTCTATAAGAAAATACGATTTTTGGCCCAATAAATTCAATAAAAACTCAAACTTTGCATGAAAACAAAAGGGGGTGGAGTTGGGCGAGAAGTTACTCGCCTCTAGTGAGAAATGAATCCCTAGATCTGCAGGAGGTTGATCCCCTTCGCTGAAATCCAACAATCCCGCTGAAAATCCTCAAGAACTCCTCCCAAATCACCAAGCAATGAGAAATTAGGGTTTTAGGGAAGAGAGGGGGGCTAGGGTTTTGGTTTCAGATCTCAGGGAGGCTCTCTCGGGCACATTAGTTTATATACCAAACCCACAATCCGACCCGAAACCCGATTAAACCAAACCTGAGAAAAACTCTCTGACCGCTGTGCGGTCGACCGCGCAGCAAAAAATGCCTGCTGCTAGGCATTTAACATGCTGGTCATATCACTCGATTTCTCTCACATAGAAACACTTGATGGGTTCTCAAACACCGATAATTACATTCATCTGATATCTATATATGTGTATATATATGATTATTCATCATAAGGGAAATATTCACTATTAATAATACACATATATTTATTATAGAAATTTCGGGGTTTTACAACTCTATTAAGGTTCAAAGCTAGGTTGGTTGCGAAGGGCTATGCACAGGAGGAAGGTATTGACTATAATGAGGTTTTCTCTCCGGTGGTGAAGCATTCTTCGATTCGGATTTTGCTAGCTTTGGTGGCACAGTATAGATTGGAGTTAGATCAATTGGATGTGAAGACGATATTTCTTCATGATGATCTTGATGAAGAAATATATATAACTCAGCCATTGGGATTTTGAGCTGCAGAGAATGAAAAATTAGTTTGCAGATTAAAGAAATCACTATACGGTTTGAAGCAGTCTCCTCGTCAGTGGTATAGGCGATTCAATGGTTTTATGATTGGTCATCCGTACACTCGGAGCCAGTTTGATCCTTACGTATACTTTCACAAGTTAAAAGGAGATGCATACATCTATTTGTTACTTTATGTCGATGACATATTGGTTGCCTCTATTTCCAGATCTGCTATAGATGAGCTGAAGGTACATCTTTCAAAGGAGTTTGAGATGAAGGATTTGGATGAGGCGAAGCGTATTTTAGGGATGGAGATCGACAGAGACAAGAAGAAGGGTAGAATTTGTTTGACACATGTGGCTTATTTGAAGAAGGTTCTACAGCGATTTCATGTTAGCATGGATACGAAGCCAGTTAGTGTACCATTGAGAGCCCATTTGAAGCTTTCGGCTGATCTTTCACCGAAGACAATTGAAGGTCAAGAGTTGATGTCGAAGACTCCATATGCGAGTGTGGTTGGAAGCTTGATGTACACGATGGTATGTACGAGACCAGACTTGTCACAGGCGGTGAGCATGGTTTCGAGATACATGCACAATTCAGGAGTGTATCATTGGGACGTCGTGAGATGGATTTTGAGGTACATTCGAGGTACGCTCAATGTTGGTTTGGTTTATGAGCGGGACACTACAGGTGGGTAGTTATGCATTAGTTATGTTGATTCGGATTATGCCGGGGATTTGGATAAGCGCTGGTTTACGACGGGGTATGTGTTTACTTTGACCCGTGCGCCGATTGTGTTGGAGATGCACCTTACAGTCTATAGTGGCTTTGTCTATGACGGAGGCATAGTATATGGCGATTACTGAGGCTGTGAAGGAGGCTATTTCGCTTCGAGGACTTTTGGAGGAACTTGGTATATCGCAGCGATCCATCACTATTCATTATGATAGCATGAGTGCTATCTATTTGGCAAAAAATCAAGTTTTTCATGCAAGGACGAAGCACATTGATGTTTACTATCACTTCGTTCGGGATGTTCTTGAAGATGGTGATGTGAATATTGTGAAAGTCCACACGAAGGATAATCCGGCCGATATGCTCACAAAGGTGGTTCCGAACAACAAGTTTGATCATTGTCGAAACTTGTTGCATATTCGTGATTGTTGAGGCCGTTGGCGGCCATTTGGGTGAACTACGTAAGGCTTGATTCTTTGGGCAAGAGGATACATAGGCAGTCTTTATAATGCAGCCGATTTAGTGAGTCGATACCGATGTTTGGAGTTTGTTCGCATTCTCATTTGGGTTCTCGATTTGTTATGGATTGATTCCATTGTCGTGAATTGTTTCACTTCGTACTGGACGCAACAAGTGAGACATTTGGTTTGGTTGGTGTCGGCTCAGTTTTGAAAAAACTTCGCCGATGTGGAGAATTGTGGGGGCCACATGGGCCACACCACAGTATCCAAGGAAACTGCGTGAGGAGTTTTTTTTCTTTGCACTTGGCCCACCCGACTCTGCGTTAGTGCGCTATATAAAGAAAAGTTATAAAGGCGGCTGTCCTTTTGAGAGAGGAATTGAGAGATTGTTTGAGGGTTTTCTTTGTGAGACTTTGTGTGTTTGTAAACCATATTTGTATTCTTTTTCTCTCTAGTAGTAGATCTTCCCCCTCATTGCCCCGTGGACGTAGGCAATCTGCCGAACCACGTAAAATTGGTTGTTTCGCTGGTTGTGTAATTTGTAATAGCTTAGTTAGGTTTCCTCGACAGGTCAGTCCTAGAACTGATGAGAGGAAGAGCTGATATCCCACTTTGTTGAGATATTTTGCTTTTGGTTCTTGTTTCTTTGGTGAAACAGGAATTCCTATTGCGACCTGACTCTCTTGTTGTTGCGCCGAGGTGCTGCCGAAATTTCCTCTGCGCGCAACAGTACCCCCCATTCATCTCCTCCAAAAGGTAATCACAATGGGTACTTACGTTATTTTATACTCTTATTTAACTAAATATGAATGAAATTTAGGATTTGGTGGCACCTTGTTGGGGACCGTTTGGTTCGGCCAAATTTTTAGGAATCCTACAGCTTTGGAACAAAAAGTAGATTTTTTGACATTATAGGATTTCGAAACTGTCATTTGGTTTAACTTTTTTTTGAAGAATATCTTTCTTAAAAGCTAACATGGCAACTCAATTTATGGAAAGCTCAATTCTCTTTTTTAGCTCGGAAATGGACTAGAAAACTGACAACCATGTGACAACTGATCATTTCCCCTCACAACTCCCTAAATTATTTTGCAATGAAACAAACATAAGTTTTGGATATATTTTCATATTCTTCACTTTATCATTACATATCAAATACAAGTTATGGATTCCTTTGATATCCAATTTTTTTTGGAAATGGTTATTTATCTTAGAATCATTTTCCATAATGATTCCATAATTTTATGAATGAACCAAACAGCCCCCTTGACCGCGCAATATGCTTCCGTGGCTTTATGAAAACTAAAAATTTTGTGATTTGTTTTTCCCTAAAAAAACCACTATATTTTGTGTGGCAATTTAGTATTAAAAAAACCTAACTAAATTCTAAGGCGTAAATTCTTACCGAAATACAACAAGGATTTTTTTTACCGTAAGCGGTGAATAATAAGACATCAACTTCTGCAATCTCGCGCCGCTTTGGCTACTAAACTTTGATAATCATCCCAATAACTATGGTGAGCAAAATCCCAACGAAATTTAGCGTCGATGGTGGGTCTCGTCCAATTATATCTTGAAAATCTGACTACCATCCTCATGAACGTGAACAAGACCTTCGATTTATTTGCTGGGGATCGATTTTTTCAATGGAAAACATCATCTAAATCTGAAAACAAACATGTTCCTGCTAACATAAGAGTATAGAATGAATTGACACGTAGATACAAGAATACGAATCCAAGAACTTCGTGATAAGTAAAATACTTAAATAGTAAATTACAATACAAAAAGATTATAAATCAATGCCTGATAAAGTGTAAAACCACAATAAAGCAAATTAAGAGAGCACATTTAGTCTCTTTTACGGCACATTACGAACAACACAACAGATTTGAGCATTTCAGAACAATAATATCTTTCAATGAAACAGGATGCATATGAACGAGACTTTAACAACAAACAAAAAGTCCAAATTGGCTACATCTCCGGTAGTCTGGGAATAAAATCCACTACACTGAATAGAAAGCAAGGGGAGATAAAACACACAAAAATATCTCAACCATATTGCAGAAAAGGCCACCGGGAATAAGCTTAAAACACCGATCCTGTTAGCTCCGGATTCACTGCATAATAGAAATTAGAGAAATTGATTTGTCATACCAACACAAACGAAAATCTGAACAGATACGCAATATGAGAACTCTGAAACTCACCTCAGCATCTTCACCTGCAAGGCCCTTTCCAGCACCCTCCTTTGCATCCTCTGCTGGGTTAAACATGGAAACCATAATAATAAGTTCAAAACATCACCCACAAGACCCTTCAGAAATCATCTAAGTCACAAGTCAGCTTCAGACTTTGTGAATAGAAATGCAAATGATGCATTTTCAACGTTTTCAAGCAGAGAAGCCACCAAAAAAAGGTTTCTCGCTCATGACACAGACATAATCAGAATAATGAGAATATAGAGTAACATTGCAACTGGAGCAGTCATCATATGTAATGTTTTAAATGTCGGATGTCGGGTTCATGTCGGTCGGCCAAAATTCATGTCGGATAGCGGAAATCGGGGATATATCGGGGGACATGAAAAAAATATCGGATTGCCATATCGGATAGGTTGATATGATATCATAAATGGAATCTTCACATACTTAATAATTATATTTTCTAAACATATGAAAAAGTACATAACTTATTGATGTTAGGATCACTAACCAATTGTAGACACCTGATTTCCGAGTCGGGTTTTTCAAACTTGACCCAATAAGCTTAAAACCGTTTTTTTTTTAAATTTGGCCGATATTTCTTGGCCGCAATAGCGCCCGACATACCCGATATTTTCCGACATGTCCCCGACATGACCTCAGAAACGCAATACGCATTGAAATGAAGGATATCGTGGCGGCTAGGGTATAAAACCGCCATATCGGCCGCCATGTCCGACATGGCGGCCGATATTTAAAACACTGATCATATGGAAATATAATGACGTCAATCCAAAGTTGTACCCCCTTAAAAATAAGGGGAAAAACAAAGCGGCCTCTCGAAAAAGAAAAAGTCACCTTAGGATTACTCCTCAGAAGCGAACAAATCCACAGAAGTCAACTTTCGACATCCACAAGGCAGAAAGCATGGTTCACAGAATACAGACTTCTAACTCATTTGTCCATTAAGCAGCTGTGTAACAGATAATAAGGACAACAATTCTACCACTTAGTACTAGAACCTCAGCTTAGCAAGGGAGAAGAGCCACATGGACTCGTAAAATTTCAAGATTAAATCTCGCCAACTGCTTGTACAAGGGAACTGGCAATCCAAAAGTATCTGAAAACATAATTTTTCTTCGGAAATGAAAAGGGGGATAGCTTTACTGCAAAAAATTGTAATTTCGAAAGTAGAGTGTAAAAGTTGAGGAGGCTTTTAGACATTTAGATATTGGTGGGGTTTTCTGTATACTTCTGGATTATTTAAGGTATGGATTCATCAACTGAATTAGAAAAGAGTTTGTGTGAGCAGCCAGAACTCGAACTCTTAACTCAAAAGGCCAGAGAAAGTCCCTCTTTTGCCACAATTCATCCAGTCAATTGGAAATACTAATCCCAGAGAGGTCAAGCAGTAGCAGCTGAATCTAGGGAAGGAAAAGACACAATATTCTGCAAGATCTTACTGAACGTCCTTCCTTGTTTAGATTTGTTTATTTGCTTGTGCTTATGGAGTGTCCCTTACACACACATGATAGTTCAGCTGTTTGAAACCATAACAGCTAAAGTAAATTGAAAAATAACACAGCCACAAAAGCATAACGTACAAATTAAGCCTACATAATAAAGTAGGCAAGATGGAATTAGATTAACCGTTACCTCCTTCATCAGGGATGTCAGAGGTCCACAAGGTAAGGTTATCCCTCAAAAGTTGCATAATCAGAGTGCTGTCCTTGTAAGATTCTTCACTTAGGGTATCAAGCTCAGAAATGGCCTCATCAAAAGCTTGTTTCGCGAGATGGCAAGCCCTGATAAACAAATTAAGTTAGCATCAGAAACAGTTAGACAAAAGCCAAGAACATGCATCTCAATTGGCAGCCAGTCATCCATACCTTTCTGGAGAGTTCATAATTTCATAATAGAAAACTGAAAAGTTCAATGCCAAGCCCAATCGAATTGGGTGAGTAGGAGAGAGATCTGCTTCAGCAGTACTGGAAGCGGCCTGTGGATTGTTGAACACAAAACCAGAGCACAATAGAATGAAGGAGTTAGTCAGCGATATTACTGGTGCAGCTAAAGCAAATTGGTAAGCAATTACATATACCTAGTTCAAAGCTAATAAACATCGGAACCAAGAAACAACACCATTCCTATGCAAACTATATTACAATTGATAAGCAGCAACTGAACAGGGACAAAAACTCTGAAAATGGCATCAAGGCAAGAGATGAGGAGAAAAGACAAGATAAGGGCACAGATAAGCTACTTTTATTTAATGAGAAAACAACTAATTGAAGTGTTTAACCTCCAACCACGGAGGCCTAGCTGCTTAGACCGTCACTTAGGCAGGTGTCTAGGCTACTTTTAAAACACTATTTGGACAAAATTTTAGTAATAAAATAAAATTTCACAAGGTCCTAACAGGTTTGTTACATTGCCCTTCTCAAGCGTACCTATCAACCAATCATATTAGAGCGTAGTCATCTGTAATCACGTAAAGCATACAAGCTTATAACAGAACACGATGACTAAAACTAGCAATAATCATGCTGATAGCAATCAACCTTGGATAACAATGGAGATATAATTGTATTTTTTACTGATGTCAAACTCATGAAATTTGCTTGAGTTTATCAAAGATATTCTTTGGTAAAAAAAAGACGAAACGTAAAAAACTGCTCTGAAATACATTTTATACTCCCTATTAGAACAAATTATAACAGATGCCCAGATGTG